GAACTCAGAAGGCAGAGGCTGACTTCTTCTATTTCAAGGCTAGCCTGGTCTACAAAGTGAGTTCCAAGACATCCAGAGCTACACAGAGAAACCCAATCTCAAAAAAATTTTTTAAAAAGTAAGCTTCTCACTGTATTTAAACACATTGTTGAACCTGAAGTTTCCCAAAATGAGGCACAAAAGCAGCAGGTCAGTGTACTTGGGTTTTTTAATGTGTGTGGTATAATAAGGGGTTATTTAAAGGATTACATTGGAGTTACCTAATTAGAATATGAAAATATCAGCACTGATGAAGAAATTTTTTATAGAAAAGTATGTGGCAAACTACCATGATACACAGAGCTGTCAGCATGCTAAGATGAACTAGTATATCAGTGTAGTGATTGAATTCTTTTTTTCTGGGGTGGGGGTGGTTTTTGAATTTTTTGAAACAGGATCCCTCCGTGTAGCCCTGGCTGTCCTGGAACTTGCTTTGTAGACCAGGCTGGCCTTGAACTCAGAGATCTGCCTGCCTCTGCCTCATTAGTGGTAGCATTAAAGGCATGAGCCACCAAGCCCGACTTATTTTAATTATGTGTATCTGTGCGAGGGTATATGCAAATAAGTGCAGGTGCCCCAGGAGGTCAGAGTCATCACTAGACAGTACTCCTCCACCATCAGCACCACCAAATGGAGGGTTTATAAAATGTCTGATGTGGGAGCTGGGAATCAAGTCCAGGTTCTCTAAAAGAACTGTAAGTACTCTTTGCTGTTATTGTTCTTGAGACAGGGTCTTTCTACATAGCCCTGGCTGGCCTTGAACTCAGAGATGTGCTTGCCTTTGCTCCTAAGTATAGGGATTAAAGGCATGAGCCACCATGCCCAGCTTTCTGTACATACTCTTAACCTTTAGCCATCTCTCCAGCCCCGAATCTTTTTAAAATTATTAGTGCATGTATAGAGGTCTGAGGACTTTTGGGAGCTGATGATCTCCTTCCACTGCAAAATCCTGGGGTTATTACTCAGGTCATCGGGTTTGTACAGCAAGCAGCTTTACCAGCTAAGCCATCTCAACAGCCTGATTTTATTTTTTTTAACCTCTTAATGGCTTCTATTTATAATCAGTCTACTTAAATAGGGTCTAAAGTCAACCATATACCCCTACCTAGAGGTGCTCAGCCAGGCCAATTTATTCCCAGAGATATATGAGATTATCACAATTTGCAGAGTCTGGAGGAGGTTAACAGTGCTTCTGGCATCTTTTAGGCAGATGCCAAGACTGCTGACAGATATCCCACACTGTTCAGGGCAGCCTCTCACAAGGAATTATCCAGCACAGTGGTTCTCAACTTGTGGGTCAAAACCTCTTTGGGGTGGGGGTCACATTTCAGTTATTTATCACAATCCATAACAGTAGCAAAATGACAGTTACGAAGTAGCAACAAAATAATTTTATGGTTGAGGGTCATCACCGCATGAGGAACTGTATTAAAGGGTCACAGCATTAAGGAAGGTTGAGAAGCACTGATCTAGCACAAAGCATCAATAGCATCATGGCTGACTAGTTCTGCATACTTTGTAGTTCATGCTTACTTATTCTACTGACTGTTACCTGTTGAACTGTGTAGCATTTTCATAATAGTTAACTTTCTAACAGAAGCACCAAGATATGATGTTACCTGTCATAGGAAATTTTGGTATTTAAGAAAATACATAAAAACTAAATTTCATCTATTAGCCCCATAATCATGACATAAGCATTTTGCAGGCTCCTCCTATATTGGTTTTAGGTCTTAAAATACTTACCTAGAAGCTGGAAGCAAAGACACTGTCAATAGCAAACAGACATCCAGAATTAAAGAAGTAATTACAGTTTAGCTGGATAACACAGGAAAACACATACTCAACATGTCCACTAGGAATGTCACTAAAGACTCTCCACTAACAGACCCTGCATGAGCTAGTTCTCAGCGTTAAGGAACCTGTGCTGACCCAGGCACAATCATCTAGTCACACTAGTAACTAAATGCATGCATTCAAAAAATGCATGGAAGCATGGTGGTGCATGCCTTTAATCCCACACTCGGAGGCAGAGGCAGGCAGATCTCTGTGAGTTCGAGACCAGCCTGGTTTACAAGAGCTAGTTCCAGGACAGCCTCCAAAATCACAGAGAAACCCTGTCTCGAAGGGAAAAAAAAAAAATGCATGGAAAAGATAAAAACCATTAGCCCTTCTGTGCTACCTCCCAACACAAGGGAAGATACAGTCAATAAAAATCAAAAATCTCTACATATCCCTGTACAAAACAAACAAAAAACTTTCCTCTTGTTTTACTAGATCTTGTGCTGCAGTTTTAAAAGAATGTAGAACTTATTCAGCCTTACCTGTCAAAAGTAAATGAGAACCACACACGACACAACAGTGCATCCCTAGGGACTGACTGAGGAAATGAGAAATTATCTGGATCTTTACCATACCATTTACTGTAATGTTAGGACTGGTAAGGATCCAAAGTCTCTTTACAAAGCTGTCTACCACACTTTCCTGAACCAATCTTAAACCAGTATCTAGCTGTGGAAAAAAATGTTAAAGCATTTCCTGGCTCATGACAAAATGCTCCCAATGACTGCAGAGGCTGTACTGCCATATCACTTGATGCAGTCACAAGGAACTAGGATAAGAAACAATAATATATCTCAAGAAATTAATCAGACCTAAAACAGCAAACTTTTCAAAAGCAGTATGTGTAACAAATTTACTGTGAAGAATATTGTTATTCGGCTATGTTGGCAAATGAAGCAAGCATTTAGCCTAGATGCTTAATTATTCCCAGGCAAAGAAATCTCAAGGTCAGTTAAATCTTTTGGAAGACCTATGTTCTCTGATGATAAAGAATATGTCAGCTCCTTAACCCTGGCTTAAGGTCATGCACATTCAGGGCTTGGTGGGGGTAAAAAGTTACCTTCTTTTTCTCGATGTTTCTAATTTTGTGTTTAAGGCATATGAGTCCATTATCGATATACGTTTCATACGCCTGGGAAGGAGATGAAGCAGAACTGAGAGTAGACTGCAGAGGGCTCAGGGCCTGCAGGCATTCCCCGTGCTGACTGTGGGTCACATGGGGCTTGGCTGACTTCATATTTCCCACTTGTCCCTCCACTGAATGGCCTGAAGGTGACTGGTAACCGAAAAGAAATGAAGAGAGTGAAGAGAGTTGCACCACTGAAACAGATGACGCTTAAGATTTGGGGGTGGGGGAGAGTTAAGTATAAACGTAAACTAAAGGTGCATAGCAGCAACCTTTATCATCTCTGGAAAACCTTCCTTTAAAATGTTCTTCCACAAAAATGAACTCAAAACACAATGGTGCTTCATTCAGCGTTCTTGCATCAACTGGCCGCTGAAAGCAATGGCCAATAAAGACAGACTACTCGCAGGCAAAATGTACACTATAGGAACGTTTCCATTAGTTCAATTTCCCACACGGAGAAGAACTGCCAAGCAAGCAAAAGGCTTCTGACTTTCTCCTTCTGAACAATTTCTATGGTCATCACCCAAGCGGGGGAGGGGAGTACGACCACTTTGCCACATTAGCACCTCTTTACCTGAACCTTTACTTTAGCCCCCAACTTCAATCTACCTCAAAGGCTAGGTGAAGCAAGTTTCTTGAACAAGCATGTTAACGTCTCTTTGGCTGCCCAGGGACTAACCAAGTGCATCACCCCTGGTCACGGTAGCCAACCAAGCCTTCTCACAGACTGCATTGCCGAGGTGGCTTCCGGTTGTATGTGCACTAACTCACCACCGCCCAC